GGGCGGGGGGGGGCCCCGCCAGCACCCGCAGCAGCTCCACGGCACCCCAAAACCGGCACCCCAAAACCATGGCAGGTGCCTCAGCACCCGCTGAAGCTCACGGTTGTCTTTAGGGAAACTGAGGCACAAAGGAGGAGGGACAATGAACTTGCTGAACTGATGCAGCAAGGCAGAAGCAGAGCCGGGAAGGGGACTGGGGAGTCCCAAGACCCTTTTGAAGCAGGAGCTTGGCTGGAAGAGGGGTGGACTAGCGGAGCTGCCCCCAACACCTCCCTCAGGCCCTGTCTGTCCCTCCCAAATTCCCAATAGAGACAGATTTCACGGTGTTTTCTAACCCAGGGCAGGAGCCAGAGTCACCACCGCTCCCCCTAGCTCCCTCCAAAGCAGCCCAACACCCCGGCTGGGGTCTCTTTTAGGGACAGTACGGGGGGTGCCACCCCCTAAACACTCCAGGGCAGCATAACCCACCTTCCTCTGGGCAAAGGGAGGCAAACCTTGGCCCCTCCGGAGCTGGCCCTCCTTGAACTTAATCTTAAAAGGGTCTGTCCCTCACTTGCTGGTCAGGGATGGAGGATGAGCTGGAGATGGGGTGGCCACAGCTCATCCCTCCAGGACGGCGCTTACCAGAGGCCGGGAACACCCACGGCAAGCCCAGAGTGGAGGTTTTCCTGATTGCCACAGCTGTCCATCCCTTCCTCCGCCCATATCACCCTCCTGGATGCTGCTAGTCCCCTGGGAAGGAATTAAGCCAGACCCTGGGGAGCTGAGCTCCGAGCCGTGCTTGGGAGCACTGAACCACAGCCGGGCAGAGCTGAGGGTCTGGCCCCACGTCTCCAGGATTTCTCTGTGGTTCCTATCCAAACAGAAGTCCTGGAGAGAGGCGGCGTGAGCATGGAGCATCCCAGATAAGCTGCTGGCTGGAGGTCTGGAGAAGCCTCAGTAGTTCACTGCGGCTCCCAGCCCTGCGGCACAGGGCTCCAGCTCGCTCCCCCGCACCGGCTGGAAGACTCTGGCACGCTTTGGGGGGTATCAGATTTTACAAGGAGTTTTCAGAGCTCTAAACACCTCTGCTTCTGCTTTGCTGCAGCCCACCAGCTTTTTTGGCAGTGCCGGGTATTTACAGGCAGCGATATCTTCCATTGGGGCATGAGCTGCCAAATTTTCCCTGGGACAAAACCAAGGCAGTCAGGAGAAGACAGTTTGGAATTTTAGGAGACTCGAATCGGGGAGATTGAGGTAAAATTAAGGTTCATGACAAAATGAGTACTCGAGCGAGCTGGGCATGCGAAGGCACCGCGCGGACGCGGCCTGCGAGGCTCTACACGGGGCAGCTCTACAGGTGAAGCATCACTAACCAAGCACCTACGTGGAGACTTCGAGCGGGGAAAAAATGAAAAATGAACACGTCACAAAACTCAAGAGTGGTGCGAGAAGAGAGGGGACTGCTTTACCGGCTTGGTTCATGCCCAGAATAACCTATTCAAAGAGAGTCCTGCACTCCAGAGGGTTAAAGGCTCATGAATTGCGTACCTCCTACTGTTAACACTCTCAGCCGCTCCTTGAACACTGCGAGATCTGGGGTGGGCAGGGAAAGGGGAGCAGAAAGGGAGAAGATAGAGAGACGCAGTCAAAGTTAGTTAAAAAAAACCTGGAACCGTGAAAACCAGTCATGGAAAGCACAAGTCAAAAAAATACCGTATTTAAAATCGTCCGAAACCATCAGGGGCAAAAGGGTTGGGATGGAGGATGACTACGCACTAGGTGGAAAAGAAATGCTGGTGGAAAGTGTGGCGAGAGGAGGGAGGAGGAGGAGGGAGGGGAGCAGGGCGGGGGGACACATCAGACACTGGGGAGCAGTGGAGCTGCATGGTTTGAGATCTCCTCGGACGGGAGAAGGCGAGCGCCCAGCCCCGCGCCTTCACCCACTGCCACCAAAAGGCACGGTCCCACCGAGCTGCACCG